TTTAAAAATCATACCATACTAGTCTTGCTTTATATATTATCACAATATATAGTATATATAGTATACTATACTATACTATATATTGTGATAATATATAAAGCAAGACTAGTATGGTACGATTTTTAAAGGGAAACTATACTATACCATTTTGATATTATATGATAAGCAGATCAGTATAGTATGGTTTGATAAAAATGGATCCATACCAGACTGATCCGGTCAGTCGTACCATACTGATCTTTGTAAAACCTTGTATAAGCATTAGTAAAAATCAGCCTATACTATACTGATCTGCTCACCTATACCATACTGATTTGCTATAATTTCAGCTTATTGTCAGGTAAATCCGCCCCTCGAAGATGCGAACTGATTATCCTTTTCTATGTACATGAAGCATAGTTCCCTACTTATATAAATTATTTTTACTATATTTTTAGCTATAAATTTTATTGCTCTTACCTGTCTCTTTTTCTCGTTGGATTGTTTTTGTGTTAATAAGACAACTTCTATAGCTACTTGACATGAGTTTGCTTCGGTAAATTGTGTGATTGAACATGTGCACAATCTTCTTGCTTTAACAGAGCAGATAGCTTAGTGCTTTGACAATGAAAGTTCATTTGTCCTGCAAAAAATATGCAATCTAGCTGTCTTTTAATAGTATAGTATTCTTTTTGTTACCCTTTTTCAGTTAACTATACTTAGTCAAGCAAAAAAATTTTCCATATTTTATATAAAATTAGGGTCTCTGACTATGTATATTATGTTTTAAAGAAATAATATGCCGCAGAGATTCGCATTAAATAGTTTAGGATCCGTGTACTCCTTCCCTTGAAAGCATATCATATATTTCATTCATTTTTTCTTACAATTACAAAACACTATTACTGTTATAAAGGGCGTGATCGTCAGCTATCATTGTCTGCATAGTGAGAAGAGGAAGATAGTTTGAATATATCCATCTCGCTTTTTATTTATTATACTTCTTGGGATAGCTATGCAAAAAATTTCATCTTTATACCTCTTGCAAAAATTGAATCCAGAATTAAGGAAGTATTAAGTTAATAAAATCCAATAGGTCTATAAATCATACGTATAATTGTTAAAAAAATTATAAGTCAGATAATCGTTAAATATGTCTAATTCAATCAAATTTTTTATATATAGCATGGTACATAGACCGTCTGTAAAAATGTAAATGATTTTAAATCTTATATAGTTTTAAATCAAAAAAGTAACTTGGCTGGGTTAAAGTCTTAGAAAGCAAAAGAATTGCAAATGTAGGTAGTATTGTTAATTTTGTTAATTAATGTACAATATTTAGGCCCACAAAGTAACAGGCTCAGATTTACTTTGTTATTACTGTAAACAGCTATATAGAAGATCCTTCTAAATAGTAAACCCACCAGGTACTAGCAGTTCTCAGGATCTTGGTTGAAATGCAATTCTTTTAAATATCTAGATATAGGTCTTAAAATTTGTGGAATATATCATATAGCTGGAGATCTACCAGCTTATTTTCTTGCAGCAGAAAATAAAGATGTAATTCTTCATTTTGACGGTGAATCATATAAATTGTAGAAGTAATCTCTTTTTTTTTTGATTTAATATTAATAACGAGATCAGTATTGTATGTTTTTAAAATAGATATTTATACCCTCTTTACTATATAAAATTTAAAAATGAGTACCGCCAAGCGAAAATCTGCAATTTCGATCTTTGCTGGCTTTGCTTTTTTGATCTGATTCCTGATAAATTTAAATTAAGAACAGCATATTTTATATAGTGTGTTAAAATAACATTTTTTTCGGTAACACAAAGACCTGTTATATTATAATAAAATAGAGAGATTAAATAAAAAAAAAATAATCAAAATTTATTATCATTGTCTAAACCTCTAAAAACCTCGTACAGTTAATAAATTATTGTCCATCATGAGTGTTCTATATATTTTTACTAATTTATTTTAATATTAAAAATAAGTTTCGTGGCTGTGGGAGTAAATCTGATCCTCAAAACCGTATAAAAGATCAGTGATGTTATAAATTTGAATATTTTAATAGCATTTACTGCTTTTATCACGATGATCAATCCATACAGCAGATCATACAGAATACTTTTAAAATAAGTATTTTAGAAATTATGGAAGATCTGGATAGTTATATGACAAAATTGTATAATAAGGGAGTGTAAAATATCTACCGTATAAATGCGAAATAACGCTCACCTGCGCGTTATTTCGAAATAAGAGATGATTTTCTAATTCAATATAGTTGACCTTCAATAAATGCATGTGTTGAGTAAAGATGCATTTATAAAATATTCATTATGAAGAATAATCTACATACTGTAAGTTGAAATTCATTAACATTGTTATCAACACCACCCTTAATTATTTTTTAATATGGTTGACACCAAGTTTCAGAAGTATTAAATCGGTTGCAACTCACGTATTTTCTATAATAATAATTTCTTCTAGAATCAAATTCATCAAATACTAATCCATATACTTTGAGATTGCTATACTTTAATTGTATATATGTAACATGTAAATGTAAATTAAAATAAAGCAGCTATGAAATACAAAAATGTACATATGTGAAACTGGTGTACTTATCTCGCGGTAAGGATAAAGGTTTTGGTAGATCGCAGCATTTAAATTAGTAAGTAAATTGAGATTGAGCATTGTAGCGACTGATACAGAACCTTGTTGCTGTTGTAAATTGAAAATATAAATGGTCTGAATACTTGAGGTGAAGACTAATAATACTGTAATGTATTTAAAGAAATATAAGATAATGCACGTGAATCTTGATATAAAAAAGTTGCCGGGCCCAGTCAAAACCTTTCTTATATCAATATTTCTTATATCAAGAGCGTTTTATTATAAAATTTTTAATTGGGACTTGTTTATATTGAGAGTCTCTTATATCAAAAATTTCTTATATCGAGTTACTTATATTGTAAAATTCGTGCATTCTTATTGGTCGATTTGGCCCTGAGTCAAATTTTCAGATATGGAAGCTTGTGTAATGAAGATTGTCCACCATGCTATATTTTATTAATAAGGATACGAATAACCCGTAACAGTAGAGACACTTCTTTGATTTGGTTAAATGAAAGATCTGAGCTGAATTTTTAACCTAATAAGAGACTTAGAAATAATAATAACTTCGTATATACAACGATATGACTGCATAGGATATTAAAAACAAATCACTATTTATTGACAGATTCAAGTAGAATTATACAGGTAATATGATAATGAGAAATCTGTATTTAATGTGTTACTGTAATAAAGAATATCATAGCTTTTTAATTTATTAGAAACTTTTTAATTAAGATCCTGATAACTATAGGCCGCTATTATTTGAGCAAATCATTCAATCCCTTCAGAATGTGGGATATTTTACTTGGAAATCAAATCTATAAACAGAAGAAAAAATGGGTAATATTAATAATTATTTCGTATTATAAACATCCCTTTTGTTCTTGTAATTTTTATAATCTATTTTTAATTTTATTTTCTTAATAGAATGATTGAAATCAGATATTACACAAAACAAAGCGATGAAAAAATAGAAATTATGCTCATACTGGTAATAGTAAATTTTTATTTTATTTTCTTATTATTACAAATTAAAATCTATATATATACTTTAGGATGGGAATATAAGAAAAAGCGAGGAAAATGAATCATGGGGTGTGGTTATCATAATAACAATGAATATTCTTTTATACAAGAAGTGGTGGGCTATATGGGTTATTATGTACTACTGGTAATGTAGTTGGATGCTATCTAAACTATACTAAAAATGGAATTAACTTGAGTAACTATCATTTTAGAAATTGGTTATATTTCTTAATGTAAATAGATAAAGTTCAATGTATAATATAAAATATTTTAAGGAATTGCACACCATCTACCTAACGATTTGGAAGGTAATCTATCACAAGGCAGATTAGTAAAAGTAACAAAAAATTTAAATATTCTGGTAAATTTATTCATCGTTCTTGGCTTGTTTAGAATTTAACTCTATCCATATATGCATATTTCAATTGACAGCAATGACTAATGAAAACATTAGCGTATTTGATCGATAGCAATGACTAATGAGACACCATCGAACGCCAATGGCATCTATTAGTGACATTACTAAAGGGTTCAAAGAGTTTAAAAAAAAAAAGATGAAGACATTAGTAATGATAGGTGGATATGAAAATATGCTTGTTAATTTAACCAATAAATTAACAAAAGCACTAGAAAGATCCAAGTAATGTATTTGAGTTGATTTTCTTTGTAAGTAAAAATTTTTTTTTTTGCAGACCGAATTGGCCAATTTAGAATTTAGAACCGGTTTTATTTTTCATATGTTAAAACCGATTAAAACCGGTTTTAACATATGAAAAATAAAACCAGTTCCAAACTTTAGGCTAAAAATCAGAATTTTTTGTTTATTTTTTATGTTACGTCAAAATTATAATTTGATTGGTTAATCAGTCAATTTTTTTTTTATTATAAATACTGTATATATATAATTGTAAAAAAAAACAAAAAAACAAACTTCAGAACTTGTACAACAGCCACCACAAAAAAAAAAGAACCAGGACCGCTATGTGTAAAATGAGTTCAGGTAGAAGTTTTTTCCTACTTGATTTTGTTAGAATATTTTCAGATTTTTTTCCTACTTGGAATACCTGAGACCTTCTTTCAAGTGTCTTTTTCCTTGGAGGACCCTCTCCTTATGGAGTGCCATATATTTTTTTTCTTACTTGGAGTGTTTTTTCTTGTAGGACCCTTTCCTTATGGAGTGTCTTAATGTCTTTTTCTTGCAGAACCCTCTCCTCACGGAGTGTCTTCTGCTTTTGTAAAAAAAATTATCTACAATTCTGGAAAAAGAGTCGACAATTATCTTAAAATTTTTTTTTTTATAAAGGTAGAAATATCAATTTTTTTTGCATATACAGTAGTTGTTCGATCGTGCTGCCGTGACTAACAAAAAATGGTTTTAGTATCTCTTAATAAGGACATTGGTGAAGAAGTGTTAGAGGAATGGATCCGAGACAACATTGGTTACAAATTTGCTCATATGAAAAACACCCGGAAAAACGTAGATTTTTTATGAAAGTTAACATTTTATGATTGGTATATATTAATTTAAGCCAAAATTATATTTTAGTTTTGGTCATTTACATTTTTACAAACGAGAACATGCAAGCGAGTTTTTTTTTGCAATAGAAAGGCATCCACCATTTAATGGACCATTAAACTGTAAAATAGTCTTTAAAAAGGCAACTCATTTTAATTCTCCTTTTGCACAAGGGCTCCCTGTTAATGTAATTATAGTGTTTTGGCTATTTACATAAATAAATGTGTACTAATATATTCATAATTAACACGATAGTATATTCGATCTAATTCACCCAATGCATCCAATGGGTTATCATTAATTGAAAGGGTTGTGCATCTTGAGAAACGTCTTAATGAATTAGATGCAAATAAACGGAAGAAATCCGTTTAATTTTTTTTTTTTTAAAAAAATATACATATATATATTTTATATATATATGTATGTTTTATATATATTTTATATATATATATATATTTCTTTATGTATAATATGTATTTTTTTTATATATTGTATATAAAAGCGTTTTTTTTTATACTGTAAATAAAAGAAAGCTAAGAATAAATAGAAAGTTTTATTGGAATACTGTACAATGAATTTGTTATATCATGTTTGAAACTATATACTACGTATAAAGTGTCCATTAGAAGCAATAAAATTTGAAAAATTTTACATGTCAAGTTAAATTGGATCCATATTATTTCACTGACAATCACTTTGCAGATATCACATTTCACCGACATTTATTTTACTGAAGCTTATTTTACAGACAAAAGTAATTCTGGTCAATATCATTGGGGTCAGGCTAGAATTAGATAATTTATAAAAAAAAACTTGTTGATGAAATGAGCTAGTGAGATAAATAGGTGAAATGTGGCGTCTACGAAGTGATTGTCGGTGAATTGATCGGACCCCTTTGAGGAATAGCCTGAAGTTTTGTATTCGAT